AGCGAATCGGTCTATGTAAATCTACGCCCCGTGGGCACGGTTATTTCAAGGTTTTACGGCCTTCCCAAAACCCACAAGCCTACCTGTCCTCTTCGCCCGGTTTTGGACATGAGAAACTTCCCATACCACTCGATCGCTCGTTGGTTGGTAGAACTTCTTGAGCCTGTGCGTAGACGAGTCGCTGTACATACCCTAAAGGACACTTATGCGTTTGTAAATGCCGTGCGTGACCTCAACATCAAGAACCAAACTATGTGCTCTCTAGACGTCACCTCACTGTTCACGAATGTGCCTTTATTTGAAACAATTGAGTTCATTTGCAACTTTGTTGACGAGAACCATCTTAATATTGGCATACCAACTCTGGCCCTGAAAGAATTACTGTTAAGGTGTACATTTAATGTTCAGTTCCTATTCAACGGGGACATATAACGACAGCGAGATGGAGAGTTGCGATGGGTTCCCCGCTAGGACCATTCCTCGCTGATGTTTTCATGGGTATGATGGAACCGGGTAAATTGAAAGCGGTCATCAGTAACCTCATGTTATACCACCGTTAGGTAGATGACATCTTCGTCCTACTTGACACCTCCGGTAACATCGAGAAGCTCACCAGCGTATTTAACCAGGCTCACAATGCTATACAATTCACGTACGAGGTAGAAGAAAATGGCGCTTTCCATTTTCTCGATGTAGCTCTACGAAGACTTGATGATGGTGCAATAAAACGTAGCGTTTACCGAAAGTGCACTTGGAATGGACAGTACACAAACTTTCATAGCTTTGTGCCGCTTCAGATTAAGAGAAACTTGGTCCTCAGTCTCGTGAACCGAGCCGAAAGAATCTGCTCGAAGGATACTCTTTTCGAAGAGTTGCAGCTAATACGATCGACGCTTAAAGAGAATGGCTACCCAGAGAATTTTATTAATGCGAATATGGGGCGAAACAGGGAGGCACGTATGGTCCATTATGGCGGAACGGAAACCTATTTTCCTAAAACTGCCTTACAAAGGGGAAATAGTATCCGAGAATCTATCCCGCCTTCTCTCGTCCACACTCAGAAATACCTTCCCAGCGGCGAGGTTGCAAATCCGGTTCACCAGCAGCCCAATGGTGAGACTAAACCTCAACGATAAGCTGCCTGTCCACACCAAATCAATGTGTGTATACTCCTTTACCTGTTCCTGTGGAGCAGGCTACGATGGTCTTACGACAAGACGCTTATCCGTAAGGGTGAAAGAACGCCATCCGGCCTGGCTCGGAAATGGAGACCTAAAGGTCATCAACTCTGCCATCGCCACGCATCTTGCGGATACGGGTCACGCCACCAAGTCGGCTGACTCGTTCAAAGTAATCTATCAGGCTCCAGAAAATCGATCAAGGTATTTCCGTAAGCGGATATTAGACGCCGCAGAAGCCATCGCCATTCGGCTGTACGCACCAGCACTGTGCACGCAGAAAAGGTTTACTCACGCGTTGAGTCTACCTTGGCCAGGACGGACTGCAGTTGACCTGTACGCGCGTACGACTACAACTGTAATTTAACCGACGGTGTGTCACAGCGCACTAGGATCAATTTGGTTGACTGACGACCCGTTGGGTCTGTATGCAAAAATTTTGCATTTCATGTAATTGTAAAAGCCTGATGAAGTATTACCGAAAACATATGTTCGCTTACACAGACTTCCGATCAATCAATGGGTTTTTTCCATTCAATATATATATATATATATATATATATATATATATATATATATACATATATATATATATATATATACGAATATTTGCGCGAGTTATTTTAGGTGACATTGTCGTAAATATTTACAGATAAAATCATTGTTATTGCTATTAAAACCATCAAATTAATTCACTCACCATCTATGACTTCTCGTCAAAAACAGCTATAGATGATTAAAATCAACCCAACGCATAATAATCACTCGCGTCCAGTCTGCTCCATCTGCCTTGGTTGTGTGACCTCAAACCCAACGTTTTCTTGCATTTCGAAATGCTTGGTTATCCCGACCCAAGTCATCTTATAACCCTTTCATATGTGATTCCTGGTCGAACCTGAACGTATGCCAGTGGCTTCTCATGTGCTTTTGTCATGACGACGGAACAGCTGACTACGATGGCACACTCTAGCAGGGTGAGGTTAGCCAGTTTACGTGAGCGGCTGACAGACTCGTTGCCAAGGTCAAACGGGTAGTTGATGACATCAGCCCATCAGCGTGACACAAGTTGCTAAGTGACAGTCGTGAGTGAGCGTGACTACATCTGGCAAGCAGTTATGGAATCTCTCCAAGTAAGTAACGTGAGTCAGCTTCGGACGTAAAACCGAAGATGATAGAATGTGACTTATAAACTGAACCATGTTCTGTCCTTAATATAATTCGGTCTAGCAGGCTTCGGTGTTTTGTCCCCGGCTGGGTTGGCGTGGCAGAGAGCAGTTAGGACAGCGTTACAACAGTTTCGTTCCTGCATGACAACTTCCCATCACCTCTCTGTATCGATACCTCGTGAACGCTAATCGCCCGTTTTGACACTTCAAGCTTTTAAACATTCGCTTGCTACTTTATATGGTCGGCTGGCCTATACTCCATTATTAGTGTTCAGTCGAATCTGTACTTCGAGCTGGCGAACGACATCCTCTCAAAAGAAGCAATCTACGCAGGAGCAGATTGAGGCGTCATCTGGTCGCAGTTACTAATGACTAGTCACTGATGGCTATTCAATAGTGAATAGGTAATTAGTCACCTGTTTTGATAGAGATGATTTCGTTATTAAGCTTGTTTCGCGACTGCTTGATGACCCAATCCTCGTACTAATCTTCCCCCCCCTTGTAAGATGTCATTTTATTCCTTTGAGGGTAATTACCCCCAGGTTAAGAACTCCTGATCTAGATGGTACACCTGCGCGTATACGCTGACGGCTTGGACGAACACGCACATACACATACTCACAGAGAACGTGCTGTGTCCGTAAACGTATAGTTCCCTGATTTGGGGTCAGAATTCCACATTGTAATCCCGCTGCACACCTTGTTATCGGAACAAACGAACCATTCGGGAATCATTGGTTGGTCAACTTATGGAGCTTGAATTAGTACTGACTGTCAATATATATATATATATATATATATATATATATATATATATATATATATATATATATATATATATATATATATAGCTGGATAACTTTTATCCCATTTTATTTGGTTTGTTCTGCCTACCTGAATAATCTATTAATTGGCCACGTTGCTTACGCTAATTGCGCTTATCGTTAACTTGGTTGCGTTTATAGCACTTTTAGGTAACTGGTGGACATTTTTTCCTGATCGCGGATTCATTGTTAACCAACTTACTTCATATGGTAATTTAGGGAAGAGTTATGCCACCGTATCTGTATGCATTATTGGATTTATTTCATTTCATTTTGTCGTTTCAAGTGATTGGCTGTTGCTTAATATCCCCGGTGTGGCTGCGCTTGATGTGCATGTTGACAAGGTGTCTACCTGTCTGTTATCCACTACGTCGTCCATCTGGCTCCAGGAGATAGTTGGTCGTTGCTGGAGGAGACAGGGTGCACGTTCCTTGTGGTCGTGCTAGGCTCAAAGAGCGGTTCCATGCATTCAGTGTGGAGCGGACTACGGTCCAGCCACCGCCTTGTGTGCGTTTGCTTCCCCAACTATAGTGTGCTTGTGTTTGCCTGTGAAGAAGTGTGGGCCGGCTCCGTTGATGAAACGTGGCTTCCATCCACACGCCTCCCAGTCTTATTCCTTCGGGTTTACACTGGATATGGGATATGTGGTTGGAGCTGTGGGTGGTGCAGCGCAAGCCACCCATGGTCCCTCTGTAGGCGCAGGCGTCCTGTGGCTGGTCACAGTGACAGGAAAATCTGAAACCGGATGCCGCCAACCATATATATATCCTAATCTGTGTACGCTTATTGCGCCATCGGCACCATGGCACTCGAGGTGTAGTCTATACAGTTACCGTGACAGGAATCGCCACACTGCTAGGTAGTGGAGCCAAACGCAAGATCAAAATTCCTGCTGTAGAAGGTACGGAAAAGTGATATACTTATTGATTGCGTAGCTTAGCACGGGAAGGGTAGAGAGCCCACATCGATTTCGCGACTGACCCGTAGATTGAGGCGTGTAAGCATCTATCTAACTACTTCTGACTCACATCCGAGACGTCTACCTGCACCAGCTCACCTAAGCTTTTCGGTCAATTTCGCGTTATCAAGGGGCTCCTCTGTGGCTACATCCCGCTATGCACATAGTTGGCAAACAGCGCACTAATGTGGTCTCTTATCGACCGTACTGGGAACGTGTTCCTACCAGCCTCTAAGGTGCTCGCGTTCATCAGGCTGTCCAGTACAGCACTACAGGGTCTGTCACAACCTGCTAACAAACAACAAAATTTCGAGATTCAGCTAAATATGAACAGTGATTCGTGTGGTTATTAACGGGTGGAAGAGTACAATATTTCAGTATCTTCAACTCTTCTCTTTCTTCCACAAACGGACACTGGTCGCTTCTGTTCTCGATCATTAAACTGACCTCTCATCGTATCTGCATACAACCATGGCTTTACAAGGTCGCGTGCACCTTATCAATGTGCACAATATCCTTAACGGAGATTTGAGTCCCAGTGATGCCCATCTGTCTTCCTGTGGACGAGGTGTAAGCCAACGGCATCGAGAGAATATTCCACGCTCTCAGCTGTCCCATCCTCTGACACACATTGACATCTTTGCATGTTCGCTTTGGCCAATTCATCTCCAACAGGAATTTGCACTATAGTCGTTTCTCGCACGTCTGTGCAATAGCCATGCTTAGGTCATCTATACTTCATGTGTTGTGCCTATTCACGCATCTTTCTAATGACTGTTTCCATTTACGCAAATTACGTTAACTTTCTTTTTTCTGATACACGAGGTCCGCACCTATCCCTCATGTTGGTTTCCGTATTCTCTCGTTCCTTCAGGCACGTGTCGAAAACAGCTTACTGGCACAACGCAACCGGGAATTGCAACAGGAAAATCAGCTACTTTCCGCTTCACTGCACTTAGGCGCGGCGGCCGCTGCTGCTCATTTGAAAAATCGCCAACCACGTGCTAACAGTTTGCACGCTCATCTGGCCGAAGAAGTCACCGGGGCTGGTGACAGCAGAACATCGTTGAAGGAGCCACCGGAATCAACCGAATATCCATCCACATTGACCGTGTTCACTGTGAATACGAATACGGACTACGATCATGGACCCGGTTTTAACCAAACGAATTCCACCTGCTTAGTCCCTACTCCTTCGTCTGCGGCCAATTTCGTCACGTTGTCCACTTCAAACACCAATCCGTCTAACATGTTTGCAGTTCACGCGGTGTCCAACTCCACTTCGACCATCTCGTCCACAGTGGTCAACCCTGTGACTCGGCCACTAACCTTGCCCAGCCTAGATCTCGTGGCTAACCACACCGACAGTCGTCTTGAATGAATTTAGACTTCCGTTCCCCGGATCCACGCAGTGATTTTCGAAGGACTTCTAGGTTTCCTTCCTCTTTCCAGACGCACCCTTTCAACGTTCACTTCATGCGCTGCCATCATATATTATGGATGCGCAGTTGGTTCCCGTTCGAGTGGCCACTAACTTTCACGAAACAATAACACGTTGCACCAAGTAAAACTCATCTTGTTTCTCCATTCGCGGCCAAATCTGTGCCACGGTCCAATTTTCATTGACTGCCTTGCTTACTTCTCTATGCGTTCTTTCCACTTGTCTGTGTCACACGAATCCCCCATCTCCTCTCTGCTCTCCACCGTAGCAACTGTCCTCCTTGATTTCGACCTGCTGAATTTTCCACTCCCCCGTTCTCTCATCTTCATCCATCACTTTGTGGACCATCCAGGCACAGGTTGTCTGTTGAAGTTCATGTTCTATTTCTCCTCTTGTCGTGCACTCACTCTGAGTAAACACACCCACACAGACTATGCCGGTCAGGCTTTCAAATTTCGAGCTCACCTCGTCATTTGTCATACATTATTGTTTCCTGGTGATTTCATACAACCATAGCTGTCTGTCTACCCATTCATCTACAACGGATGCTTGTATAACACCCTTGCCCCGCACCAAGTTCGTGCACGCGTCTGTGATAGTATGGTTTCGGTGCATGTGCAGTAGACCACCCTTTGTGCTTCCATCACCTCACTTTCAACCCCTACCCCGGCCCCCCCCGTACTCTGTGTTGTGTAGTCTGTTGCGTTCAGGCTTGTGACTGGTGGCACAGTCCATCGTTCCAACTGGGCTTCGCGATTCCCACTCAGTGGTGTGTTGTTCATCCGCGCGCGTGTGCGTGTGTACATGTGCCCTACGTTTATATTTGCACTTTTGCGCTCTTGTTTGTCCGATTTAACTTCTTATTTTCGTGCCAACGCGCCCACTCTCATTCGACGTGCGTTGCTCCACCGAGCGGGAACAACAGCCACACGTCGCAGATGTCACAAACTGCTGTGAAGTAATCCTCCTTTTTCACTCCTTTCTGCTCATTGCGTCTTTCATCGATTCGTTCCGCCGTCGTCGTCGTTTGCGCACACCGAGTGCACAGTTACGAAAGCAAGTGCTCACACGCACGCACACACACGCATGTGGGCATCGACTCGAACGGTTCCTATTTGGCGCCCGTTTTGTTCTTCTTCCCCCACTCCACCTAACCAGTGCTCTAGTTTCTGCTCATTCTTGTTCACCATTTTACGCCGGTTTGTGTTCACCCATTGCTGCTCACTTAGCTATCTGTTTATCTACTCCCGTCCATCTTCCGCACACCCACTATGGTCCATTGTGCGAAGTTTTGTGTGTTAGGCTCTGTGCTCTCCAATCTCGAGTGTTTCTACTCACTACAGTTTCCCTTTTCATCCTAGGAATTCGTTGATTCTGCCTTCACCAGGCTCTGATAAAACAGCTGCCCCTTGCCTCTTCTTGTTTCCTGTCAAACGCCCTTCGTTTTATCTCGCGCTAGCGTTCTTATGTAACTCTTCTAACTGGATCTTTCGGTATGCTAGGTTTTGTATACTTCTCTCTCTCTCTCTCTCTCTCTCTCTCTAATCTCTTCTACCATAAACATCGACTTTATCGTTGCATGCCGTCGCTACACATCCCACGCAGACTTACACGTGGTTTCTTGCCTTTGGACTCACTCCACTTCGTAGCTTGCTCCACCCTCACTTCACATCACCGTCATTATAATGAATTCCAACCACATGGGACTGCGATGCTCCCAGGAACATCAAGTCGTCGTCGGCTCGCACGCGTCCTTCTCGTTTCTGTGGATATGCTGAAGGTCTCTTGATTTAAGCACAGCCGAGACACAACTACGATGCACCTGCTAGCCGTCGATTACCGTCTTTCTCCATCGCAAGATTCTGGTATATGTGTGTTCGCTTTCTGAAAGGGAACCAAATCCCTTTTCTCAGTTGCTTCACCCTCTTTCTCTTTCTCCACCTGCTCCCATTTCCTTGTGATGGCTGCATTTTGCTAAGCTGTTTTTCCACATGAACTGTTAGGATTAAGTGGCCTGTTCTTTTCTCCAAGTGAATTCAATGCGTTCGTCTGTTGTGTGCCGTGTTCTGTTCTCGAGTGGGGGTGTTGTGGGGTCATTTCAATCGCGAATCGAAGCGGACTTCAACATCACTTGTTCGAACACATTACTCCATTCTCATCTCGTTGGTTTGCTTCCAAGTTTGCAAGATCTGCTGCTGAATGTGCTTGTTCTGCTCTTGGTTCCGGACATATCTCCTCGCACTCGAACTCGTTCTTTATGTATCTCCACCGTCGCGTTTACAGGACACGACTTAGAAGGTGTGGATCTGCTCCCAGGAGAACGACTTCTTGACTTAGAGTATGTTGATGATATTGCCCTAATCTGTGATAGCTCACAAACGTGCGAAACTGCACTGGACAGATTAGCACTGGCTGTCAACTGCTTGGGGCTTTGCTTCGCACCCTCGAAGTGCAAAGCGTTCCTCCAAGATTGGCCTAGACCGCCTACGCTGACCGTTAGTGGGGATCAGCTAGAAGTCGTTCAAAAATTCAACTATCTGGGAAGTTGTACCAGCGCCCGTGGGATTGCAGATGAGATCACGAACCGCATAGCAAAAGCTCGGGGCGCTTTTGCTAACCTTCGCCACTCATGGCGCCGGCGCGACATCACTCTTGTCCTGAAGGGTAGAGTGCACAATGCAGCGGTACATCCGACCTTACTGCACGGTTGTGAAACCTGGCCCCTTAAAGTAGCGGGCCTGAAGAGGCTAGTTACGTTCGACTACCGATGCCTTCGCAGTTTAGCTCACATCTGGTGGGAACACCGAGTGAGTAACGAGCGTGTTCGATGCCTTGTTTACGGCACAGGAAATGGAACTGAACCGCTCAGCACCGTCATTTCACGCACCAGGCTCCGATGGCTCGGGCATGCCAGTCCACTGACTCCTGCCAAGTGCGTTGTTTGCGTGCCGTGGGTGTAGATGGAAGAAGAGGAGAGGTGGCCAAGCGATGACTTAGTCGAAAGGAATGAAGGCCCTCACTTCGAAGCTGGCCTCAGTTGGAGCGTCTAGATTCCCTGGTTGGGGTCCGAAAGACGATGAACATGTTTGGCCTTATGAACTTGCTGATATGGCTAGGCGCCGACCTCAGTGGCGTTCGTGCCGTGAGTTTCTTTGTCCCACCCCATCCAACCACGATCTCACTATTTAGCCTTATATAATTTTGCATAGTAATTTTTTTGGCATGCACAGTAGCCGGCTGTTAGCTTACCGGAAAGATGCCCATCCGTTACCGGTAGCTCAGCCGGCTTGCACCAGTTGCATTCTTTTGTACTTTTTTTTTATGTATTGCGGCACCTATGTATGATGATGATGATGATGCCTCCGTCGAAGCACGACATGTTTGTCCGATGAGTAGATCTTACCATCAGCCCAGTTAGGTCCACCTTTAGGAGTTTCTCATGTGAATTTGCCTCTTCAGCTTCACGCAGATGACCATCTAGCGGATGAATGTTCACCGAAAACCGCTATTGTTCAGGCTACAAATCTCTGTTCCGATGGTATGTGGCCCCTATCTGGACACCCACTTCTGTCTTAGGTGGGATTCCCAGTGAAAGTGACTGATCATGAAGCTACCTTTTACAACAGTTCGGTTCAGTTTCTTAACTGTGATCCTCGCACCGAGGTGCAGTGGATCAAGTTGCCATGACAATTGTCCAGCACAATCCTAACTACAACAGTAATGTAAGCGGAATGTTTGTGGGCCAACAATATGGTAACGAATACACTTGCTTGACTGGCTTGGTGGTTGCGCCATAGCCGGTAAAGTGTCTAGTCATTCATGTGGTTAGTCACTGGGTCCCTATCCGATAAGACGACAGGCACCGACTCGACTCATTCCTTCGATGAGTTCCTTATGCATTTTACTGCGTCCTTCGCTGACCACCTCGGGGCTACCCACACCTGAGCGCGGCATTCAATAACACATGCCGAGGCTTCCAATCAGGCCTGGTGCCAAACACTAGATGACGAACTACAGTCTTACTAATCCAGTCTTCCCATCAAAATAGTCGGTTTCCTAATATCTACAGCGCAAAGCGACTAAGTCTCTGAATGATAGAGTATCACTGGCCGCACCGTGGCGTTATCAACCTATTCCTTAACCACTAAGCTCCTATCTTGTAGTCTTCATAAGTACCTGAGGCTTAGAAAAACATACGAGCCCTAGCAATGCGTGCGGTAGTCTCCTAGGTGACGCAATCCCAAGAGCTAATATGGTCACCTAAATGAATAAGACGATTGACCGGTTCCTCCATTATTATAAATTCTGGCGTATCGCCTCAGTCCTGTGTCTTCCATGCCTAGTGAGTGCTTCCTCTCATCTTGCTCTCCCCCAATTCACGGGAATTCGTCTTTACCGTCTCAGCAACTGTTGCTCATCTCACTCCCACCATTGGAGTAGCTGGTTACTCGCACCTCTAAACCAACCCGTCTGTGTACTACCCATGCTTATCAGTGCAACTTTGTACCTGCGTTCGTTGTCAATTGATGAACGGGCATATTTTCACCCCAGTACACTCATGTATTCGTTTTATGTTACACTCTTGTCTACCCAGTGGGGTGCATTTGAATTCTCCTTCACCTGGTCGATCATCTGGGGCCGTCACACTCGAGGTCGGAGATTTGCTTCCCAAGTTGCGCGTATAGGCGGACTATTTTAAACGCTCCCTGCACTTTGCCGTTGTGTCTCCAATTTTTATCTCAATTCCCCCCGCATACACATTCGATCGTGCTTGACGAGTTCCTTTCAGCGTTTTGCGTATCCGCGCATCCACGGATTATTGGTTCTTTGTTCTGGTGTGCATCATGGGGATGGCAATCTGCACAGTTTGACATGTGATCTCGGGTTTGCTTCGTCCTCGGCCGGAATATTTGTTGTCTTCCCCTACTAACACTAATCAACCTCCACGTGAGGCGATAACCTTGTTCCATCTCCCTGCAGAACAACATTGGAATTACTATACGATATTCCCTTGATCGTTAGGTTATCCCGAAGGTCGAAATATGGTTAGTTTTTTGGAACCTGGTGTTTCACCTCCAGCCACCATTTCAGGATCACGTTACACCTGCTTCTGTGTGTCGCTCCATTTCCTCTAGGGGTTCCTCTGTCACTGCCGGATGCCGCACGAGGTTCAATGCTTCCAGCTCCTCCTGATCATGTTCGGCCGCCAGCAGATGCGCTCTTGACAGAGCGTCCGCAATGGACATGCGTGTACCTGGCATGTGCACGTTAGCTAAGTCATAGTTCCGGGGACATACACATACGCTGCAAATATCGTGGGGCGTTACGTAACCTTTTACTGACGCTAGATACGAGTGGTATATGGTCTGTGTACATAGTAGTCTCTCTCCCAAAGGTGTAGGCGAAACGTCCCACCTCGAGCATCCTTTTAGCTTATGTGTGCCGCTGCTCCGTTACTGTGAGAGCTCGGTTACGGAAGTCTAGGGGATTTTTATCCTGCATCAGCACATCAACTACTCCGCTCTGGTTGCTGTCGCACTGGATCTCCAGTTTTCTTGTTGGATCGTAATAGTCGAGCACTGATGCATTATTGGAATGATACTAGACGATTGCGAAAGTAACTCCATTTCACTTTTTTATGGGTCAAAATTACAGATTAGCCTCTGGAAATCAGCAAACTTTGGCTAGAAACGACTCAACAACATGGCCATACCGGTCAAACGAACAGCTACCTTCACACTTTAGATGACGGAATCTCTTGTGTCAGACTATGCCTCGCACCATCGATGAAGATACCCGTTGTTTTTAATCTAAGTTCGGGAAAATCACTTCCCGTTTTTTTGAATCTTGACTTGCTCACGCTTCAGCTTTAAGTTCTTTAGAACACAACGCTGCAAGAAATGTTGGCGATTGATATCATGCTCCAATTCAGATGAGCTGCAAGTCAACATATCGTCCGCTACACTCGTTGCACCGCCTGGATCGTTTACGGTCTACAGCAGTCGTTTCTGAAATAGCTAGCTCACTTAGACCTCATAGCAAGCACAACCACCGTAAGATGTAGTGAGAGTGATCAGGAAATTCAACTCCTTATCTAGAACCACATTCCAAAAGGCTGACAATAGGTTTGCCTTCATGAAATACTTGGTGTTAGCTAGACAGGGTAGGAATTCTTCCAATGTAGGCAGTGCATAACGTTCTCTACGCAGATTCTTGTTCAACGGCTCTGGATCGATGCACGCACGCTGCTCGCCAGTTTTCTTGGCGACGATTGCGACTTGACTGACCTAGTCTGTTAATTCTTTGACTTTAACGATCACACTCGTCTCCATCAATTTATACTCAACTTGGCAGAAACGTATCATGCAGCGTTTATGGAACTCTTCTAGCCGATAGCTCAACTGGTCATACTAACGGGTCATTGGTTCATTGGTGTGTAGAGGAGGGAAGACCCTTGTCAGCTCCGTCGATTCCGATCCGGTGCATGCTTGACGCAACTGGCTACGAATCCGTACTCCTGTGGGGATCGTCGCCGTTGCAATAGGAGCAGCAGAGCCCTGCGGTACTAATCAGATGGAGACAAATAAGCAGCATCTTCAAACATCGCCAAGCCTGGATTAAACATAGACAGTTACTATTCACTAATGTCGCTTTCTCCTTGACCAGCATGCATGAAATGATCGTGGTTAAAATCATCAAAACCAAGAGGCTGAATTTTATCAATTTCACGAATCGGAATGAGCTACTCTGCCACGACAAACTCCAGTCGCTGTGAAGCTCCCTCCTTTGGATTAAATACCATTGTAACTGAGCCTTTCAGTTGAGGTTTGGAGCCACTCCGCATGCGCAAACCATATTGATCGAGTCCGATATGGACCTGGGTCCAAATTAGAAGCGTATCACTCTTACTTCGGTCAGAAGACTTGCGTAAGCACTTCTATAGATAAATGATTTATTCTCGACGGTCTGTGATCTGTTCAGACACACGTTACCAATTGCATTTTCTGAATCTGCGGGTGACTTGTCAAGGACGAGTGCGCTCATCTTTGTCAACTG